GAAAATCTCTGTTTTCAAAAATACCCGTGTACGTGTGGACGTAGCCTTAGTCAACACTGGTTGTCTTTAAACTGAACTTGGACTTGAGTTCATTGCCGATGTTGTGCTTACATTCAATAGAAAAAGATGCCGGTGCATTAAAAAGCATGACATAAGCTTTTGTGACTTAAACAACTGTCACCTGTAAGTCTCCAGTCGTTTAATGCTGGCACCTGAAGGCACCTGCCTCATGATTTCCGCCCTCTGGAGGGTAGGACAAATGAAGGTTGATGAAACGCAGTGAAGCAATATGCTTTTAGATTTTCTTTCGCAACTCGGTGTGACTGATGGTATCAGTTTAGTATGAAGACACACTGAAGGCGTCCTTTATCACAGAGACCATGGATGATGCACAAACTCTGTCATGCTGTTATCTGCAGTAATCTGGATTTCTGTAACGGTCCCAGAAATCATCAACAAAATGTGCCGAAGTGTGCAGCTGAGAACGGCGAGCATGTCTCCCATTTCCCCCCCTCCCTGCACTGCTACCAGAGATGATCTCAACTGATTTATGTTAAAACTGCTTGATTACAGCAGGAGTCATGCGCTTATTTGGCTCAGTACTTTAATCTGAGCATTCACAAACTTAAACAAGAAGCAGCTTTCACTTAAGAACGTGTTTCACAAGAAGCATTTAGAACTTTAAGTGAAATGTGAATGAAAGACGTGTTCACCAGGATGTGACTTTGATCTTGCAATGTGGCGGTTTGTAGCAAAGTGAGAAGTGACTGCTATAAGGGTCAGCACCTCTCAGTCAGAGGCCACATTTCTCTCTTGGAAAATGGTGGATTGCTCCTTCTGGGAATCGAGGAAAGTTGCTGCACCAACCAAGGGAGTGCAGATATCTCTAGAGATGGTGGAGCATGACATGGGTATTCACTTCATTGACTGCCCGTGCATTTTAGGATCCATTTTAAGCTGCTTTTATTTGCTTTTAAATGTTTGTCCAATGCTCCCCCTCTGTACCTCTCGGAGCTTCTTCATCCATACATACCTTCCCGGTCCCTCAGGTCGGCAGACCAGCT